AATTCATTACGATTATTAATAAAACATTTTAATGATTTAACTTAATTGCTATGTTTTGCAATTAAGAATTGGGCAGAAAGTTTTAAAAATATATAATACTAACTTTTCGCCTGCGGTTTCGCTCGTTGAAGCCCTTAAATAAATATCTTTCTTTAAAACAATACCAATTAATAAAAATATATTATGTCCTCAATTATCAATTAACAAAAAATTCAGTGTAAGTTTATTGAATAATTAAAAATAGAAATGTTTTACATCATAGGTACTAAATCAATAAAAGTTACAATCAAGAAATTCATTACGATTATTAATAAAACATTTTAATGATTTAACTTAATTGCTATGTTTTGCAATTAAGAATTTGGCAGAAAGTTTTAAAAATATATAATACTAACTTTTCGCCTGCGGTTTCGCTCGTTGAAGCCCTTAAATAAATATCTTTCTTTAAAACAATACCAATTAATAAAAATATATTATGTCCTCTCTCAGTCTCTAGACTGTCTGTGTACCAAATTTCATTTAAATCGGTTCAGTAGTTTTGGCGTGAAAGCGAGACAGACAGACAGAGTTATACATTTATAATATTAGTATGGATTCCTGTCCTTTTCATTGCTTTTAAACTTATTATAAATTTTTGGAGCCATACAAAAGACTGGAGATTCTTTGAATAGGAATTGATCGTCTTATTGGCTTCATCCGTATGACGCGGCTGTAAATACATACAAGGTCGTAATTTTGAATAGAACTGGCGGAGGACGCTCCATGGAAGGTCTTCCCCGAGATAATACGCACACGTGTAGTGTTAACTTGTAAGTAAGTAATTTTTTACTATGCTATGAGCTTAAATTCATAACAAACTCAGCTCATTACTGAGATGATCATAGAAACTGTGAAAATAATGCAGTACTGTATATTTACAATAAAGTATATTTCATTCAATAATGTATTCATTTCATTCAATACCGAAAAGTTTTTAATTAAAACTGGATGAACAAATACTGTGACCATTTCCGTATACGTCGTTTGCATTAAATCCTCAGTGGACTAATCAGTGTATTACCTATTTGTTTAGGACAGTTCATATAAACCGATATTGATTAAATTAAAACTTGTAAAGATTATTAGGTTCGCACCGAAAATCCCGTATAGGAAACTTTGTTAATTATATAATATAATAATTAAACATAAGTCCGCCATAATTAATGTTTTATTGTTCTTAAACGGTTTTTAAAAAAGCTATTTAATTGATGTAAATCAAAAAGCAAATGAATTTAAAGTATTTTAGCTTGTACATCCTTTAAAACCAGTAAATGCAAATTGTAGCAATTGGTCAATATCTTGACTCTAGCTACAGATAGGTTACAATTCTAAGGTCAATGGAAACATTTTTGCGGCCCAATGTAATCCATGAGATGAGATCTTATATAACTGTGGTAGAGCCACGCAACAGTGTTCGATGTTGCACGAATGGGCAGCTTCGTCCGGGTCAGTACCACGACCTCCATTCTGACTCTCCGAAGACCGTTCTGAAGTGGAAATATCATACTTCTGCGTTTCGTCTTCTTTGAGTGAGGTAGTCGGGGCCTTATCAAAATCTAGCAACACATCTGATGATAGATGTACAGGTGAACTAGTAAAGGTACCAGCAGAAAATTGGATATCCTTGACTAGGAACAGAGAACAATGGAAGTCCTTGGAGGAGGCTTTTACCCGATAGCGGGCCATGTAAGCCACGAAAAAACAGTTACCAATCAAATGCATTTATTATTTTCATTATTTATTTATTCAATGAATTAATTTAATCTGCACTTAATCGAATTTAGTTAAAAAGATTTTTATTTATATTAGGCTATTAGTCAATATGTGGTATGCGAAATTAATAAATCTTATTATTATAACACATCTGAAACCCTACGTGTGTCGCGAATGTCCATAGGCGGCGGTTATCACTTAACATCAGGTTAACTGCCAGCTCGCTTGCCGCCTTATCACATAAATAAATGAACTAAAACGCAACATTTACTTTAACTCAATTATTTTATTTTATATTTAACATCCGTCTTGTAGCAAAACTAACAGCGTTGATGATATGTAAACTAATTATATATCGCCTTTTACTTGTACATATGAATATGTACATATATACACATAACATTTTCACAATAAATATCTCAAACGTTGAAACCAGCACCATGATCCGTAACACTAAAACACTTTCATACTTCTCTTTTCAACTTTTGATAATAATTTAAAGTTATAATATAACTATCACAATTATTTAAAGCTCAGTGAAATAATGCAACACTACTATATAATTACAGCTTTGGATATTTAAAAGCAGAAAGATATGAGAGATGTTTTAAGGAACAAATGTATACTTTTTCTTTAACAATGTTACAATCGTGTCTGATATGTATTTTTAAGCCAATTCAAATTTATGATGATTCATTTCCAAAAAAATGTTATAACAAAATTAATATATATATTAAAAAAGATGCATTTATAATAGTAATCTGAATGGAAACTTCCGAATATCCGAATATTTCGCATGCATATCATATTATGTTATTGTAATTTTATTTAACTGTAACATATTTTAACACTAATTAGTAGTTTTAAAATACGTTACCTCCAAATTAATTAAAAAAAAATATTGTACAATAAACACCGAATTCAGAATCACAATAATTTAAATAATTTATAAACATTTTGAATTTCTAAACTAGTAGCTTAACATAGTTAGAAAAATATCACTTACAACTTTACATTTTACAAAGAATTTAATCAATACAATAGGTTAAATATTTGCAAAATTTTAGAAGTGGCAACTTGGGTGTCACATCTCTGTGTCCTCAACGGGTTTGCGAAATATCTATGTTTTGCTATACTTGGATTGAATAACGTTAAATAAATACAGGTTGTGTTATATTTTAGATTAATAACTAGTTCATTTTCATGAACTCTGATTAACAATCATTTTTGCTTTAGTCGGGCTAAGTATTACTGCCAATTGAAGAGAATTTGTACAGTCCCTTCAACATTTGTACTAAAAATAAATTTATACCTAAGTATTTCCAAAGAGCGAATCAAGATTAAGTGGCGCCTTTGAAATGAAAAGCTTTTTCAGTGAGGAAATAAAACATCCTATGGATGATAAAGTTAATTAAATATCGAAAGTTGCCTTATCATACTACAATCGCTTTAATTTTTTCCAAAACAGCGAAGTATCCTAATCTGTTGTGTGTGCATTATTATACATGCATAGAAGCATTTCTTTTATAATTATAGACACAAATAATATACATATTTATATATAACAAAATAATATCATGCTTGGCACGGATACATATTGCTACGATTATCGGGTTGAATGTCAACGACTCGTCTTGACAGTTTCGAATGACGTACTTGTAACTTGATATAATTCCAAATTATTAGGGTAGAGCAATTAGAAGTTTCTTACTCCGGAAGGTTTCTACTGAAGAGACAATCGAAATTAAAATTGCTTCTAGAACAGCTTATGCGAAAGGACGTTCGAAATTCGGTCTATAAAATGGGGCTCGTGGCGCGCTAGACGGCAGTTACGGCGGAACTCAACGAGGAAGAATTGCAAAGAAGAAGAAAATGAAAAGTGAAGAAACATTGTGTTAAACAATGTGGGGAAAATTGTAGTGCAAGTGGTGTACGCGGAGGATTGGTTCGACAACGAGAGGGCCTCACACGTATAAGACGTGTACCGAAAAGAATGGTACGCAACGTAAAAAAGTAAAAGATTTGAGCGTCATCGAAAGAGCTACTAAGGACTTTTTGGTTGTAAATAAAGTGAAGCCTTAAATAGCAGGCGTTTCACAACAATCACTCCAAGCTCGTAACAGTATTTAGACTCAATTTTTAAAGTGATCAAGATATTGTACAAGACATTTAAAGATTAATTAAATTAGAAATAAAGAAACTCCAAATATAACGATATAAAGACACTGGAATACACATGAAATTGTCCGAAAATTAGCGGGACCGGATCGATAAATAGACGAGCAAAATTTACTTCTGTTGATATGACGAAACGCCTGAGTTATATAAATTATCCTTGAATATACTCGTGCATACATATGCGAAAAATGGTAATACTTTAGACTATTTAAATTTTAGATTCAGAGCCACTTTGCACTTTCAGAAGCATATAAGCAAGTTAAACGGTTTTATGTTTTTTTTTATTTAGAACTGGCCAGCACTTGACTGCCATCCCACCTGATGGTAAGTGGCGATGCAGCCTTTGATGGTAAGCGCGCTAGCTCAGTAAAAACCTATTCACTCTTGCCTTGAAGACGCCTACGTTGTAATCGGACGGAAAGACGGACGCCGGCAGGTTGTTCCATTCCTTGGCTGTACGGATGATGAATGATGAGGCAAATCGCTAATCGCTGTTTATTTTACTTGACAGTGTAAGTAATATTTATGAGGAAACTAAAACAAAATTTTTACTTCTAAAACTCCTATTGAAGGATATGCATTTTCGCTATCGCATAATATTTTCATAATATATCTTCTTAGAATGTGTAATTAAAACTTTAAAGTACTGGAAACATAGTCATAAATAGTAATTTATCATAGTTTAAAATCTTCGAATATTAAGACTCTCTTTTAGTTCGATAACGACTATATATGAATATTTCAAATCTATACTATATATATATCTGTACTATATATATTTCAAATCAATACTATCTAGACATGTTTATCTATTTAGTGCGTGTGTTTTAAACATATTTATATCCTTTATTTGTGCTGTTTTACTTCAAAAATATCATTTTTACGTTCCCTATCATGGAAAACTGGACGTTTAATTTTTACGCCTAAGTATTGAAAACTATATCGTTATACGTAATCTTTCCGATTTGAGCTTTACTTTTCTACACGTTGATCCTTTCAACTTGTTCACGCCTTTTTTCCTCATCCCGTTAGTGTCACTTCGGATCTGTGATATATGTAGACAATTGTTATGACGCCGCCTTTGTTTTCAGTAAGAGTACGGGCCAGTACATTGTTACGAAGAGCAGGAACAATGCAGGGAACACGACTCTTGATAATTTATCTATCTCGCGCCATAGAACACGCTCTTGACCTGTATCCGCATCTAGCCAAGCAACCTGTAAACATAAACGGAACGTTACCATCATTAGAGTTTATTTTTTGAAGTAAAACTTCTTTAGTGACTAAAGGATACTGCGCGTTACGGCGATAATACGACTGTATGTATATATATGTATATATATGTGTATTTATGTACCTGAACTATACATTTAAGATAAAAAAATCATCATTTGTTTTTACGTTTAACTGATACATTAATAGAAAATTTAATTATTATTAAACATCTTAATTATTTTCAGTTTTACTTCTACCGCGTGTAAAGTTCACACGCACTCAGTTTTTGCGTGGAAAATAATTATTATTGCTTCTTCTCGCACTTTTCTATTGTGAAATATCTTCACTTATGTCTAAGGTATATAGGCATGAGGCCTATATGCCACAGTAATGAGCCATATATGCTCATTGCCTGTCATGGCCATTAAAGATAATGTCAATATACCATATTCACATCTTCTGTAATCAAGAAAAGATATAACAAGGTGGTGTGCCCTCTTCAGATTATGCCAAGAAATAAAATTCAGAAATTTGATAGAAAAAAAAATTCGCATTCATTGTATCCTAGGATAACTAATGCATAAGTTAATTTTACATGGATAATGATGATTTTATCATGCCTAATTACTACGATATTACTATGATATTGTAACATTATCAATAGCCGTGGAAAGTGTTTTCGATCAAAACAAAAATTTTATTCGGTAAAGCAAAATTACTAATGAAATAATCAACAAGCAGAATTTGGCGGTCGCTAATAGTTTTCGACTTAATCGCAAAACAACGTTTGCGGGATCAGACAGTATAACTATATGAATATAATAACGGTATATTTTCCAAGGAAATAACTCGACACGTGTATCAATCCACATCTTGTACTCGAGTATCAGCTTAAAGAATATATAAAGCTTAAAGAATATATAAAGATCTTTTCCTTGATAGATTTGCGGCTTGGTTAAACATCAACATAATTGAATGAATCGCCTATCAAATAATTGTATCTCTTCACATAGATGAGTGGTTTTGTCGGAATTTTTAGTGATAAATTGAGATTGAAGTGATAATTATTGAGGAACGAAGTGCTATTATTTGTTCATAAATGTACAAAGTACCCGGAGGACGGTTTGTTTTTTTTTTTTTTGGTAAATCGTGTATTTTGGAAATTACATTTAGATACAAATTACTGAGTAATGAAATATGCATAATATTTTTCGATGTTACCGACGTAATAATAAGAAAATATGAACTGATGTTTTTCTGTTTTGGGGCCGCCCGGTTACTGACCGAGCTATTATGACATTTTCTTTTGCGGCGAAATTTACCGTCATATTCGAATTATATTTTTCATTCCCTGAAAACAGGGATAAAAGGACATTTTCTAAAAATAAACCTAACTAGATCGATTTTTCGCCCCCGAATCTACGCACATACTAAATTTCATGAAAATCGCTGGAGCCGTTTCCGAGATTCCGATTATATATATATATATATATATATATATATATATATATATACATACAAGAATTGCTCGTTTAAAGGATAAGATAAGTCCATCAAAATCAAAGAATTTCATTTTGACAGTTTCCATATTATATAAAAGTTTATGCATGTGTGCGAAAAAGATGATCAAAAAGAGACGAGTCGCATAAATAAAATTACTCAACAAATAAAAATAACAACTTATGTCAGTATAATTTATACTCACGGTTTTTTTAATGTTTTTAAAACATTACATTACTTCATGATAACTATCCTTGTAAAGACGTTTTATAGACATAAATTTCACGTCGACAAACGCCAGATACGAAACATCTATCTGTGGGTCGCAAAAATAGTTGTTCCGTATGGGAATCGAACCCACGACCCCCTACCAATGGCTGAAGCCAATACATATAATTCATGATTTAAAAAGTAAAAAGTAAAGTAACAGCCTATGCATGACCCACAACTAGGCAAAGGTCTCCTCATACAGAGGGTATCAGGGCATAGTCCACCACACTCCGAAAAAGCCGAATGCCTTGCGGACAACCTAGAGCAGCAATGTACGCCATCGCGCGAACACACCGATTCGGCCCACCTAACGGAGGTGGACCGCGTAATCGAGACTAGAGCTGCGCTTCCACCAGAAGGCGAACCTCTAAATTCAGTGACCCCCGAAGAGGTCCAAGATATAATTAAAAATTTAAAACCAAAATCCGCCCCGGGCCCAGATAATATAAGTAATAAGATTCTCAAAGCTCTCCCTGGGCCGCTTATCTGTTTACTGGCGACAATTTTCAATACGCTTCTCTCCAGTTGCTCCTTTCCGGACGACTGGAAGCAAGCCACGGTTATCGGCATTCGCAAGCCGAATAAACCAGCCAATAAGCCCTCTAGCTATCGTCCCATCAGCCTCCTCAGTTGTCTGGGGAAGCTCTACGAGCGGCTATTGTTAAACAGGCTCAAAGAGCACGTATTTTCCAACGGCCTTCTGCCGACGGAACAATTCGGCTTTCGAGCTAGACACTCTTGTCCAGATCAGTTATACCGCCTAACGGAGCACATCCTGAAAGGCGTAAACCACCCGAAACATATCAGCACAGGGGCTCTTTTCTTCGATGTCGCAAAGGCATTCGACAAGGTCTGGCACAACGGCTTGCTTTACAAGCTGTACACACTCAAAGTGCCAGATAGGCTCGTACACACCATCCGGGCCTTTTTGTTGAACCGCTCTTTTCGATATCGAGTCGAGGGCACCCTCTCCACAAGCCGCCGCCTCACGGCCGGCGTACCACAAGGCTCCTGCCTCTCACCCTTGTTATTTGCGCTCTACACGAGCGACATACCTAGAGACCCCCACGTCAATCTCGCGCTTTTCGCGGATGACACGGCGCTCTTTTACTCAGATCGCAACCTCAGCCAATTAACGACTCGACTCCAAAGCGCCGCCGACCGCCTCGGCGATTGGTTCCGCAAATGGAGAATCGATATTAACCCAGAAAAAAGTGTGGCGATTCACTTCACCCGTAGCACCCCCAACCCCCATCCGCCACACCGTTACAAAGGTCCTCGCCAGTACAGAAAGTTGGGGCAAATATCACTATACGGCCAAACTCTCCCCTGGGAGAAAACGGTCAAATATCTAGGAGTCACTTTCGACTCGCGTATGACTTTCACTACGCACATCAATCAAGTCCGAAATAAAGCCGCGTTCGTCTCCGGCCGGCTACACAATTTAACGAATAAGCACAGTAAAATGCCCTTAAGGCACAAATTACTGTTATATAAAGCTTGCGTAAGGCCAATCATGTCCTACGCATGCATGATCTTCGCACACATAAATCCTACGCGCATTGACGAATTGTAAGTAGTTCAAAGTAAGTTTATCCGCCGCGCAACCGGTGCGCAATGGTATCAGCGCAACGTCGACCTGCACAGCGATTGCAGACTCCCGACGATCCGGGCACATTAGTTAAACGCACGCATGAGCACATGCGCGACCCTACCCATAGCGGAGGGTCCAAACCCGTGGGTTCTGGCTAGCCCACCGGTTCTGCGTCCGATGAAGCTTTAATAGTCTCGGGACTGAAAGCAAAAACATCAGTTAATACAAGATACAAGATGGATAACTTCGTTCAAAATTTCGTTAAAATATTTAACAGGACATTTAATAAACTTCAAAAGTTGGGAAACTCTGGGGATTATTTCGGAGAAATCAAAAACTTTCTCTTAAAAAGATTTTCTCGGGCAATAATTTGCTTAATGGATAATAAATTGACTGAGTTTTATAGCAATTTGATATGGTGCTTATAAAAGGAAGTAGCAGTATTCTGTTACTTCTAACAGAATAAAACATTTCCTTGCAGGATTTTCACGCAAGTTTCTGCAAAATTCTTGTACACATTTTTATAAATTGTAACTTTTCCTGTAGATAAAAGAAATAAAAAAAAATCATTTATCAACAGACGTAAGAAACTTACACTTCAACTATCGATAGTTATATTTTTTTTAAATCTACCTCAGTTTTGTAATGAGGTTCCTGAACGTAATGAACAAAAACTTTCAGCGCTCCGGGAATCGAACCTGCATTTTCTAGAAAGTGGAATTACTTAACGATGACGCTTCAACAAGTTCAAATCTTAGTTTTACTTTTCCAAGTCGGTACGTAGATTTCCAGTTAAAATATCAGAATCATAAACGTAAAGTCATTAGTAGTAAATGAAATGGCTTCTTTTGTACAGAGGTTATTAGGGCATAGTCCATGGGTGTTATATATCTGTTATATATGTATATATAAATAAATACATATTATAGTATGTAATATGTATTTATTTACAAAAGAAAAGTAAGAATGTTTATTAGTTTCCTAGTATACAATAGTGCATAGTACAAGCTTTGCTCAGTTTGGTTCTAGATGACGTCATGTAAAATAATGCCCCGAAATGTTTATTATTATTTTGAAAAAATGAAACTTTCCAAGCGTTTCTCTTCACCGCTTAGCAATTGACATGTCCGCAAAGTCGCAATTGATTAGGTTAAGTAGGGTTCGAACTCAGATTGTTCGTGTACATTGAAGTAAAAACGAGCGCGCGAACACAGAGCTACCGCGGCTTCCGTGGTAGTTGGGTGCCTTTTGAAAAGTGTCAGTGTCAATTGAATATATTAGACCAATTCCTACTTGTAATATGCTCTGACGTCGCTCAACGCCAACCAGATGTGCGGTCGGCGCTGAGGGGGTTGTGTTCACTGCGGGGGTTGAGCCGGGGGGTGAAGTGGGGGATGTTAAGTCAACTTTGCGACATCGCACACCACCACCCTCCCACGCAGCGACTGTACCGCAGGAACTCTTCTCACCGTTTAACCGCTGAAACGAATAGTTGATATTGTTACTCGAATGCAAAACGAACTTTCTAATTGTACTTTAATTTGATACGGTAATTTAATAACTACAGCAGCTCCAACTTATTGGTGACATTGAGTAACGATCTGAGTTTACTGATTTAAATATCGGTGTCAGAATTTTGTGGTTTTAGAATTTGTTTTTTGCATAGATCATTTTTTTAAGATCTTTCTTACAAACGAGACGGCGGTTCACGTGATGTTAATTGTTAATCTATTAATAAAGAGGACCCTGGATACCTCACTCACCAGACGGAACTTAGAAGTGTATACCTTTAAGTGAATACCTATTAGGTATCTCTGTTTGTATATTTAATTTGGCATTAAATGCTTTCCAGAATTGATAATTTATAGACTAACAGTTGGTCAACAAATTTACCACAGGTATTATTCTTGGTATTGCCTCTTGAGCCTTTGTTTTGTTCATCTGATACTGTTTGTCCAATACTTTGACCACTACAAATTCTCCTAAAGCAGCAAACACAAACATCATGCAACCGGCCATCCATAAATCAAGTGCCTGAAATTATAACAGTTTATTTCTACTTATACAATAGGCATTTGTTTATAAGTAATAAGGGAAAAAAGCATGGATAATGAGCTGAACACCATGCCCAATTACGGCTTCCCATAAGTTAGCAGCATTCAGACGTGTTAATGTAGGATATAGGTTTTTCTCAGATACGGTCTTTGTAGACCATCTGCACAAATACAGGGTGCCATGAAAAAGGGCACGTTAAAAATTACTTTTCTTTTGAGAATATTATTTATAAATAGATATATAAATCATTAATTCTAGAGAAACAGTATGTTCATCACACAATATCTTTCCAGTTGTGGAGTCGAACCCACACCCTTTGACGCAAGAGACAGTTCGCTCTCCACTTCGCCAACCAAGTCGTTGAAATGATTGCTATATAAGGTCATGTCTATATTTATGAATGTGGTCACCTTCCTTTGTTTTTGGTGTAATGATGCTCCCATTTACCTTCACATAAGCGACTGGAGGAATGTCTGCCCTTAATCCAGTGAACATTGTAACCAGCGTTAACATGCAAGTCACCAACAGGGTCACTCTTCCGGGTATCGCATCTAAATCCAACCAAAAGCTGAACCAGGACAGCATAACCACGAGCGAAGACGGTGCGAAGGTCTGTATCAAGTGGTGGCCGATTTGCCGTTCGAATCTAAAGTACACCACTAATCGTGAATAGTTTCCTGTAACAATAAGGTTTTTTTTGCTGTAATTTTTCTGGTGATGGGTGGGCTTAATATCTTGTATTTACGTGATTACACATCATAAATGAAACTATTTTTCTTTACGTATTGATCGCATTTAATTCTAATTCCCAATTTTTCATTTTCATCAAGACATAGTTGTTTTGTCTCACTATCAAAATGGTAAGAAACCTTTGTGTATGCCTTTGTGTGTCCTCTTAGCGGTGCGAGTACTTTAAGTAGATGTTGAGCCAGTCTGTAAGTTGGAGAGTCCATCTGGCTTACAATAGGGTGTAATGGAGCGGTCGGTTTGTATACTTTAGGCAACCCATATAATTTAAGGGGTTGTTTGCACATGAAGGTGGCATCATTTTGACGTCTTAAATATTTTTCGGAGTATTTCTATTAAAATCGCTAGTTGATTTAAGCATTTTGGTGGTTGGGTCTGTATTGACCTTTTTGTAGCTGTTAAGAACTGTTGTAGGATATATACAACAGTTCTTGTATTTTTAAATTACAATCCAAAGTTTTCATCACCACCGTAACTATTTCTTTATTTGCGCGGGGAACAGTTAACTTTTTATTGTTACGTAAGCTATTTAACGCGTTAAATTCATCTTTAGGCAGTTTAAATTTCGTGCTGAACAACGATGTAATAAGGATGAAATGTCTTGTCATTTATCTCCTCAATCTTCTTTACCGATGTTGTTTTTACACCATCAGCTTGGGATCCTACTATCAATCAAGTTACATATAGCGAACGAACCACTACTGCAAGACAAGATACAATTACCACCTTCTACATAATTATATCGGATGCAAAATGAACGCTGTATAGGGTTCGAAACGTCGGTAATTAAGATTTAAAATAAACGCAATAAATCCGAAAAAAAGTTTTCATTTAGAATCCCACCTTTATATTTATGTTGGCCATATTGAAAGTTTATGGAACTGGAAAAAATCAATTATGGAATTTTAAAATGAAACTCTGCAAACATGTTAGTTTTTTGTACGCGGGATTGTCGTTTCAGTCCTGTTTTTGCAGATATAGATTAACGCCAAGGTATCTGCAGTGTTTCGTACATGGGGACTAATTGGAATTTGGGTTCACGGGTCATCAGGGTGGGGACGTTGATTACCAAGTGAAGTGAACCCAGTGCAGAGCGAAATACGGAATGATATCGTATTACCATAGCTGAAGGAATCCTGCTTCAGCTAGCGGAGGGAGCCAGTATCTCTCCGGACAAGCTCAGAATTGCTCAGAAGGGAATCGGAGTGGTCCACCGAATATGGTGCACTTCTGGCGCCTGTCGGAAGCAGACGCGTGCTTAGATTTGTCGTAAAATTAAATATTTTAATAAAAGTTTAACAAACGAAAGTGACTTACATATACAAAGTAATAAGGTTAATTTTAATATAAAGAGCGCTGTGTTACAAAGACCTCGCGCAGTGACATCGGCGAGCGTGCATACATACTCCCACCTTGCCTCGAGTGAAGAGAGACGTTGCTATTTCTTGCTCGCTCCCGCGTGCGCAATGAGTATGCAACGGACGCCACCATCGGGTGGGCCCAAGCTGACAAGCGACAGCGATTATAGCGGAAAGGCGAATGGCTCAACGATCAAAATAACAACTCAAGATAACAAAGATTCTTCAACTCCAAACTATATCAATCTGAGAAAACGAAAAGAACGTACCGAAGAAAGCAAACACAGCGGGACGTTGGCGAGTTTTCGGACAGACATTATGAATTTCATGGAAGACTTTGCTTTTAAACAAAATGAAAACTTAGAACACATACGACAAGAAATATCAGATATAAAAAATGAAATTAAACTTATAAAAACGAACTCTGAATACTTCATACAGAAGATAGAACTAATAAATAATGAAATAGAAAATGTAAAAACGGATCACATTACAACACAACAAAAAATCACAATATTAGAAAGCGAATAAAGAAAGAGAAGACTGTCCTAACCCTATCAGAACTCTGAGACTAGGGAAATACAGTCAAAATAAAAACAGACCAATAAAGGTTTGTTTTAAAAATACAGAAACTCCAACATACTCTTTACGTAATAAGACGAAACTACCGGAGAACATACAACTATATGCCGATCAAACCCCCACCCAACAAAAATACTTACAGAACCTAAAAGAGGAGTTGAACAAACGTACAAATAATGGAGAGGAAAACTTGAGAATTAAATACATAAAAGGCGTGCCTACAATTGTGGTCAATAATAAAAACAACTCAAAAAACTAATTATCGAACCTACACAAAAACAAACTCAAACTAAGTCGCATACAGTCATTCACCAAATTGTTGAAAAATATGAAGATATTTCGCTACACCCGTCCTCACTGAGATTCCTCTACGCTAATTTACGAAGTATTCGGAAAGATGGCAAGTTAGACAAAATTAAATGCATATTGCATATGATACCAAAAACTACCCACGTAATTATTTTTACTGAGACTTGGATTACCTCAGACAGCGATGCCAAGCTATATGAAATACCGAACTGTAAACATATTTATATCTTTAGAAAACATAACAGAGGAGGAGGGGTCTCAATATATGTCCATAATAACATAAAACATGAAATAACTGAAGAACTTTCGGAGAATGGAAATCACTATTTATGGATTCGTATAGACAGGTTAAACCTAAACATTGGAGCGATTTACAAACCTGGGGAAACAAATGTAAGCAACTTCTTAGACATTTACTCATCTCAGTTAGAACAGCGACGACGGACAATCGTCTTTGGGGACTTTAATATCGATTTGTTAAGTTCAAACACATACGTCAAGAAATACCTAAACGAGCTAAAAGAGTCAGGATATCAAATTTTAAACAAAACACACAGTTTGTACAGCTCGCGAGAGACTAGCAATACAAACACGATCCTAGACCATGTCTGTACGAATATAAATAACCATACTTTCAGCATGACAATAATCGAATCATCTCTATCCGATCATAAGCAGATCTACTTTGAAATTTTCAAAATTAAACAAATAACAAACAAAAGAATCCAGTACAAAGCGATTGACTATGACAGTTTATATAAAAGCGCGATATTGACGAACTACCCAAACGATAAAAATGATTACACTTAGAAAAATTTATCTTGGAACTAACACAGAATAATAAAATAGACAAGACCAAAATACTTAACCCACCACAAAAATATTGGATCAACAAAGAAATCATAAATGCAATCAATCTCCGAAATAACTTATGGAAATCATCAAAAAATAACCCAAAAAATGAAGAACTACATGCAAAATTTAAGGAAGAACAAAATAGAGTGCGGCATATCATCAAGAAAAGAAAGGAAAACTACTACTTTAGTGCATTCAAAAACAATTTTAATAATCCTAAAAAAATGTGGAAATTAATAAGTGACTTATCGCTAAATAAAATCAAGGACAACAGTGCTCCCCCAAAGCTAAAGTCGGACTCAGATTTCATCACAGAAGGTATCGGTATTTGTGATTTTTTCAACTCATTTTTCACAGCTATAGGCGAGAATCTTGCACACAAAATACCAAATATGTACCACACTAACCACGGTAACACTTTAATGTATGAACTAAACCACACACATCACATAACGTTAAACGAGTTTTTACCATGTAGTATTAATGAAATATCAAAAATTATAGATAAACTGGATAGTAACACAAGTACAGGCCTTGACGGAATTAACACCAAATCAATAAAATGTCTAAAAGAGGTAATTCTAATGCCCCTAACAAAGTGCATAAACATATGTTTACAAGACGGTACCTTCCCAGATTCACTTAAGATAGCGAAAGTTAGCCCCATTTACAAGGCCGGAAATAAATCGGACCCGAGTAATTACAGACCTGTTTCCGTATTACCTGTTATCTCAAAACTTTTTGAGCGAGTGTTATATAATCGTTTACATAATTATCTTAATCAGAAAGCGTTTTTAATTAAAGAACAATATGGTTTCCGCCCACGATCTAGTACTCTCTCAGCGGCAATAGACCTAACCACGAAAATTAAAACTCATATTGATCAAAAACATTTTGCGCTAGGGATATTCATTGATTTAAAAAAATGTTTTGACACAGTTAGCCACAATAAATTAATAGAAAAACTAAGCAACATCGGTGTGACAGGTACAGCTCTTAAAATGTTCAAATCATTTTTAAAAAACAGGCATCAAGTGGTAAAAATGGTAAATTTCACTAGTTCGCCTCGTGAAGGTGACTATGGCTGTCCCCAAGGCTCAATTATTAGTCCATTGCTTTTCTTAATATACGTCAATAATATTAATAAAATAGGGTTAACTGGACACCTAACATTATATGCTGATGATACTTGTCTCTTTTACTTTAATAAATCAATTGAAAATATTATTATCGATGCTCAAAAAGACCTCGATGTAATTAATGAATATAATACGTACCATCTTTATCGATCATATACCCGTTGGTTTCTTCTAGTCGCAGCGGCTGACCAATGTGGTACTGAAGGAGTTTAAGTTCGGGATTAATCGTAACGCCAGCCTCGCTCCATCTGAACCGCACCTTTTGATTGCTATACGAAACTGAAACATTATTTCTTAACTTTTAATGAATTGCCAGTAAATTTTATTACCTACTTTTATGCTGCACGCCTTTTTCGATGCCATGGTATATTTTCGATGGTGTCGACCTATTCGTCTAACTATTAAAGCTGATACGAAACAATACCACGGGAATTAAATGGCGAAGCCGAATCATTCAAACTATTAGGGTTCCGTACTCAAAATGTAAAATTGGACCCTATACCTAAGTCTTCGCTGTCTGTATGTCTTCCTGTACGTCTATCTGGATATGTTAAATGGAGTTTGCGGATAAGAGTTGAAGATCTTATTTAATATTTTATCTTATGCACTACGTATTAGTGTTCCGAATAAAAACTTGTTCTATAACAAACAAACCTATTACAAATCTGATTTGAATGGAATGAAAAGTCACTATGCTTCATATATATTTCTGTATCACTCTACTTTGACTCTGTTTTTTTTTTCAGTCCGTAGAGTATTCAAGCGTCCTCGAAACGCAGAGCATGTTGTCTCATGTTGGGAGGGGCCGCCCATTTGCTCATGCGGGCTTTATCTATATCTTTCTTGCGTCAAATTCAAATTACGTGAACATGATTTAACCAGACTAAACTTAATAGCAAACAATATATACGTTGTTATTCTAGTTGTCATTCGAATGTAACAGATATTATTAAGGATAGAAACTGTTACAATTTTCATAAAAGTTAAACCGTACACTGATATCAAAAATCATCGGCAAGAATACTACGGACTGCCGAAAGGATTTTCAGCAATGTGTATATTAGATTACTCATATATGAGTATATATGAGTATATATATACTGGTATATATACATATTGGTATATATACCAATAACTCACAGGAAAATTGCTTATGAAATCTGTGCCTTCAATATTACTCGATTAGTGTAAAATCAACAAAACAAGAGTTTAATAATATTAGAGTGAAAGCATTATCTGTAATACATTTCTTAATTTAGGCATAAATTATGCAACAGCTGCGGTGAATTACAGTCAGTTAAGAATTTAGCGCGTACGACAATAAATAAAAAGGTAAACAAAAATGGTAAGGGTATTACGAATAGGTTAATATTATTTGATTCTGTTCAACAATTTAGCAGACGGTTAAAAAAGTGTTACGTATGATATATACAATTATTCTAATATTTATTATGTCAAAATGATTTTAATGATGATAAAATTATGAATCAATTCGAAAAATATTATCGAATACAAAGTTAAAACTTACAACTCTCGATATATATGGGACAAGATTGAATGTCCATAGGGTAAAGCTGAAACTCCATTTGACAGGCGATTATTGCGTGCATTCTGGCCGCGTATCTCACTGTTCGATTCCTGTACAGAGTGACCGAGGAGAATTTGTGCGTTAACTCCGCTATCTCTGAAATAAAAAAAAAAAATAATTGAATTGCTATGAAATTTTCTTAATTTATCTTTAGCATAATTACTGTCCTTTTGACATTAATACTGTTTAATTGAAATTGTGGCCTTATCATGGATCAATCGTAATGTTTCTAATAAAGATTGTCATTATTTTTAGAATACTAAGTTTTTATTCAATTGTAATTTTTTGTAAAAATCAAATATCGTTATATTAATGTAGGTGCTTTTGCAAAATCAAACTAAAGAATTGGTTCCATGTATAAAAGTGTATAAGATGCTAGAAAATATATTGTAAAATGTGGAGGAACTTTATTGAAGTAACTAGAATGGAGAAAAAATTACAAACGTCTTGTGTTTCATAAAGTGATATAGACATATAAAGCTTTCTTTTTAACGAAATTTCTGATTGAACGGTATGGATTTTATATCTATGAACTATTTTTGTACCTATACTTAGTTAAATCTTTGGTCTGTTATTAATAAAATTGTGATAGGACACACATATTTCTAAATGAAAAAGTTTAAGATGCAAGTGCAAATTTTAAGTCCAATTCATAAAAACAAAGCTCCCTCTTAGTTAGCTCTACTGTTGCCTAGCCCTCCTAGATTAGGAAACAGTGAAAAACTGATTTTGCTTAAGGAGCACAATTGTTTAAACATAATATCGTGAAAGCAAATGTAATTTATGAATAAATAAAGGTTTTAATGAGGCTTTGAATTGAAGTGATAAAATTCAGAGGTTTTGGTGAATATTTAATAAACTAAGCATTTTGGGCTCTTATTCCTTGAGTTTTGAATGCATTAAATAATAGAATGAATAAAAACAAAGGAAGATAATAATAATAAGATAAGATATTATAAAAGTTATCTATTATTTTTCGAAATGCCAGATACTGATTTTTCTTATACATTGTTCATATCGTATCTTGGATTGGATTGAATATTAAAACTCAAGTAATAGCTTCACACCTCTGATTATTTGATCACATTTTAAATAATTGTAATCATCGAAGAATATAATCCTTTACATTTTAAAGAATACACTCAATATAGCAAATACTTTATCATAACGAGATGGCCATAAAGAATTAGTACATTAAGATCACCAACAGATATGGGGTTATAATAAGTGCAGAGGAAGTAACAATCTGTTTTCATTTCACTTGGATCTATAATTTATAAATCTAAGATGTACAATTATGTCAGGTGTTTAGAAATTTAAGTAAACAGAGAAAAATTGAAATCTTATGCATTTAGTGAATCAAATCGATTCATGATAATGCACAGGGTGAAAGTGCGAAATTTTGTGCTTGGTAAAATGTTTAAAGGAGCTCTTTAGTCCTACCAGCCGCTTGATGACAAAAGTGGCAGGCTCCTCCTAAAATTAAAAATAAATATGAGAAATTCCAGAAATCAGGTTCATTAGTAAAGTTTCCAAAACAAATAAAGTATATTTATTGGTAATAATATGATGAATGAATTATACATGTTTTAGGAGTAGGTAAATGAAAGAATATAAATGATATGAAATAATTAAAACCCTATATACATTTATTAAGACTTCTTTTAACTCTAATGTGGTATACGTAGGCAGCTATTTTTATCTTGATAGATGCACAGACAATATACATACACTGTTTCTTATCTTAAAAGTTGTCGAGTGAGTAGGCGGTAAAACTTTTGCAATGTAATTATCACCAACCCTGGTCATAGCTTGCAGATTCGTTGACAAACTTTAAAAAATTCGGGCTCCAGTTACTTCCCTCACCAGTCGGTACGTGTAAGAATAATTCTTCCGCTTCACGCTGGTCTTTGGTAAGGCTGTCGTAATTCCATGGATGAGCCTGCCCATTCGTGCACTATCAGAGACTATTGCGCGGCCCCACCACGGTAAAAACCCACTGCCAAAATGCATCAAATTATTAACACCTTGGATTCATCAAACTGACGCTTGTACCACTAATACAAAAAAATGTTAAATTTAAAACACTTTTAACATTTCCTAGTTCAAGGTTAAAATGCTTTTTGGCTTCGTTATTAAATAGAGAAGAAGCGGAAATGGAATCATTCAAAGTTTTAATGAGCGTGTTTTGAAATGATGACTGGTGCATAGCGGTGCTGCGACCTTCGGAATTTTGTTGCGAGTGAAATTTGAAAGGTAATAAATGTCATAATTTAATAATGATTCCATTGTCCAAAAGAAAAATAAAAAACACTTCAACTATTTTGCAAGCTTTAAATCATAATATTCATTAGATACGCAATACCTTTTTAAAATGTTATTAAAATGTGTTTTTGTATAATGGAAAATTTTTGCTGTTAGAATTTATTTTGTACGATTTCAATTTCATCTTAATTAAAACTGAAGAGATGATGCAACGAATTATTACCAGACTTTAATGAGCTTTAAAATTAATATCATATGACTTTTGTTTATTTTGAATTTCGCAAACATGATACTGAATTATTCATCGGATAATAAAGTTAAGTTAGCAATCATCAGCTTTTTTCTCATTTTAAATATTCCATCCCTTACACATATTAATTGAAATAATTAGTGTGCAGTACACATTTCAAATCAATTATTTTATTACCACTTTTACGCTGTTTCTTTTTAAGCAGTTACTAACTAAATAACCACTTCAACACACTGCATATTAGTGTAATCATCACTAGCGGGAAAAATAACGGGGTTTTTTTCCAACGATCCGAATGCTCTGTCTTCCAAATCCTCGTGGCCCTTTTTTTAAATCGTTGAAAAATATACAGAAGCCGGTAAAATTAATTTCACCTGTGACCTTCGAGTTCAAGAAGTAGGGGTCGGGATGCCAAAGGTTGTCGAAAAACTCCGGCGGCAGAGTGACGTGATCGTCACCCTCTTCAAATATGTCATCAGGTAGCTGCAGTCTACTCTCGCTCCAAGTCTGTCTGATGAACATGTCCACTCTGAAAGTTGCATTAAAATCAACTAAATTAACAATATTGCACTATACACTACTTTATGTACAATTTCATTTCAACATTACAACAAATTTCTCCAATAACTTTTGAGAAAACCTCTGAGAAAAATAAAATCGTTGTTTTACATGTAGTGCAATAAATTAAGACTTTATTACTTTTTTTATGTTCGAAGATGGCAAGCGAGCTGGTGGTTCACCTGATGCTAAAATCAAATGTCCATTATTACTTAAACTATAACCGCCGCCCCACTACCCAATTTGCAACATCCGTACAGTTGCAGATTGATGCATGCGTTTTTATTATCACTTCCATTAAACTTTTCTTCATAAATTCGTAAGCCTAATATTTTTTTAAATGTGTGTCGTAAACAGACAATTTTAAAAATTTCTAAATTAAAACGCGATAAAATCCGTAAAATAGTTTCATTTATTAAGGCTAATTTTTTAACAGTTACGCAAAATATTTTGTCGTATTAGTCCATAACAATCACGTAAACGTGTAATACACACAGTTTATATCTATACAGCGTATCTTTACACTCGTGACAATAAATGAACACACATATAAAGGATAACTTTTTAAAATTGTATCAAACATTTACTTTCTTTAAACATCAATATTTACAGAGTTATTAAATTTTCCAAAACAAAGTATTTTAGAACACCCTTACGTATAAAACTGTAACGTAAAGTTCATTTGTAAAGGTCACAAAGCATATGAATGGGTTCAATGAATTTAAAAGAGACAAAACATACTGTTAGAAGGAGAGACTTGTAATGCGACGTTGTGGCAACGAATGAAAGTCTCTGAATGTATGAATCAGTCAGTTGTATAGGATGTTACAAATTTTGTTTCTTTTTTACTTAATTAGCTTGTTTGAAAAATAATTTTTGTAGTTATGGATTTTTTTTACGTTAATATTTTTTATGATTATGGGCAAGTAGCGTTAGACGTGTGTTCATTTATTGACGCGATGGTAACGACACGCTGCATATACAGGTTGTTGTGCATAACATATTCATCCATGAATTGTACAACAATTCTGGCGAAGTGAAGTCACAAATATACTGGTGAACTTCAAGATCAATTGCAACATTTTTTTCTAAAAAAAAAAAATCTTACGCTAACATAAAATTCTTATGTCAGCAGTGTCAAGGGGATATTAGGATTAGGCAAAAAATAAATTACCATAATTGATAGTAATATTTGTTTTGGTCTGAAAATGCGTTCAATTTAAAATGGAATGCTGAACAAACTACAAAAATAGATAAAACCCAAATAAATGGAGGCCTTCGGTGAGGCACTAAAAGACTAGTGGATAGGAGAAAAAAGGTGCAGATACCGGATGGAATAGGGACAGAGTAAAAAAAGGAAAGTAATAGCCTATATATGTGTGTCTCACTGCTAGGCAAAGGACATACAGGTTGCTCGAGTAAATTTAATTAAAAGCCAGCGCGCGGACACTGAACTATCACGGCTCTGTGTGTGCTTTTCCGTCTGGACTGTTCTATTCTCTTATCCAGATACCACGAATGTGACATGAAGGCTATCACGATTAACCCGCTTGTAAGGGAGCACTAGCCTGCTTACAAAAAACATACACGATACAAGACATGTTCTTTGTTGTAACAGAGTAGTTAGTACATTTTGTATGGGGTCATCGTAAATTACCTGAAGTCCATATCTTCCACATTGATCGAGTTCACATCCACAACGTAGATACTGAATTCCACAATGACCGGCTGACCCTTACGCGAAGGTGGTCTCATTTCTGTGAAAAAAGATTTGATGACTATCCAAATATTTCTAATATTCTATATCAAGCTGAGGTAAAATAAGAAATTCACTGAGTACGTAATTCAAAAGATGATATCATGATTTTTATAGTTGCAAATCCGCAATCTACATATAAGCTTACATGATAATTTAAGTCGCATAAAGAAATGAAAAATATCCCAGACCTTTCTAAATAAATAACTTTATTTACCTTTCACATAATTCTCTGGTAAAACTACCCTTGGCTTTAAAGTGTGGTTTCTTTTTGACACGACATCATTGCAAAGCCTGAAAAGGGTTTGGTTATCTTTGAAGCAATCTTTCTAATACTTAACAGTTATTGAATAATTATTAAGTAACAGAAAAGTGTACATAAAATCCGCTAATTAGTTCTCCGTGGTACCATAATATTATGGGGTGACCTAATTAAAACGATAGGAAAAGAACTTTAAGTAAAACAAAAAGATATCAAATTGATTCTGGTTTTATTTTGTAGTTACATTTATAGCATTATATATGGACTAGCACACCATTCAAATAGTTGCCTCGGCTTCAATGGCTTTATAATAGCGCTCGATCCAATTTTTGATGACTTGGGTACAAATTGGATATGTGGGGCGTTATTTCGGCAAAAGCATCTCTAATATTTTCCTCAAGCTCGTTAGTAGAGGCTAGATTGTTAGTGTAAACTAAAAAGTAGACAAAGAGGTCCTCGTTGAGTGTCTAGTCACACGATCGTTGCAAACATTTGTGAACGCTAGCCTCGACCTAGTCGCCAATTTTTGTGGTATTTGTGTGTAAAAACTTTTGTATGAGTTAGCAAGTTGCCATAATGTAAAATAATCAGTCTTGTTGTCCAAAATTAATCTGACGATATAAGAAATAGACATAGTTGAAATTTGTATCTTTGATTTTATTGTTTATCACCGGCTAGTAATTAATAACCAACTAGCTGTTGTAAATCGTATTTGTACTAATGCAGTACAATTACCAGCAAATTTTAATTGTAATGAGATAGGGACATTGCCACAAACGAGATTTAGAACAATGAGGCAAACTTTTTAGTTTGAAAGCGGGAATTCCTTTTTGAGATCATCTCGTGCAATTCATTTTCAATTACAATTTAATTTCGCTTAAAACTATGTGTTTGTTTATTTATAAATTATCTTAAATTTTTACTGAATATGATTTTCGCCATGCTTCCAGAATAGATAAGCTTAAAATATTTTTGAATGTGGTTGGGTTTGAACCCAGTACGAATTCCGACTTTAACTGGAAGTATTTTCGCATTTTGTATGGCAAGTTTGGTTATCGATGTTTACTCTCTTAAAGGTTGACAACGCTGAATGAATTTGTAAGGACTAAAGTCTTCAGAGTTATGTGCAAAAAATGTCTGACACGCGTTTGTATCTGCAGCACGATGACAAATTTGACATGTTTGTGTTGCCTTTAATAAGACGTTAATGATTACAAACATTGCTATCTACTCGGTTAATACAAAAGACTGGACAGCTTCTTTTATGATTAAGTCCATCGTTCATGTACGTTGCACAACAGGAAAATTGAAATAGCATAATAAACTTTTCAAACTTTTTATATTGCATGAATAATAAACCGGTGAATTCGAGAATTTGAGGTGGCGGCACGGGTTATGACGTCAATGGGATTAGTTATTAGGTACATAGCGTGTAATTAACGTTGATATTAATACTCTAGCGTGTTTGTTGTCTACGACAACGGCGAGGTGTATATTTCATTGTACAGTCACCAACAGAGTTCCCATGCGAATACTGTATGTTTGATGTACTTTTGAAAGTATTAAAATACAGTTCACGTTTTTATTTTCCCTGAAATGACGATCGAGCCTGTCTATACTATTTCTCAGAATACCTTGCAATATGTAAGAAGCAGCAAATTCTAAACTTTAGTAGTTCAATGCTCTGTGAATATTCAGTGTTCAAAAGCTTGAAGTAAAATAACGTTATTTTAAATCTACTAATACAATACTGTCCATGTGACACTTTTTCGTTGTAGAATCTGATTTTTATGTTATAACTTGTGAAATATTTATTATCATATTGACTGTTTTAGAATGTGGACATATGTTTTAGAGCTATTTATAAAATTTTATGGAAGGTGTCATTAAGTTACTTAACCAAATAAAAAAGTGAAGGGTTTTGAATGTCCACCCACTCTAAATATCCACACAAATCATAAAAATGTCTGTATCAAACTTAATTAGGTTTTTAAAATATAATTTAAAAATGTATACGTTTTTTTTTCTTATAAATAAAGTCATTGTCAGTGTCTCCTTTCCTAGGAAAGGAACAACATAAACAGCTGCAGCACAACTTCAGTCCACGCTGAAAGTCCCGAACAGACTTTGCCGCATTGTTAAGCTCAGCCAGCACACATGCTAGACATTGTGTTGTGTTATTATATTTACAAATGACGTAAGAACTGGCCAGTTTTCAGGCCAAGGCGACGTCATCGATTGTTATATTACAAGCACGCCATGCTATATTTAGATTTCGCCGCGATTCCCTATTTTAAATGTTCCTGTTATTATGAATTATCACGATAAGAAACCTGTTATTCGTTCAATGGCAGTATTCATTTGGGTTACCCTTGTTGGTACAATAGAACGAGTACGTTCTCTTAGAATTTTTGACTACAGACATGACGATAATGTGACACCTACGCGTAACACTTAACAAAGTAGAAGATTATATTTCTAGAATTTTGTGTAATCTAAGTTGTATTTTAGAATTAACGTCAATACGATTGTAATACTAAAATGAAATCACAGTCTGGTGAAACCGATCAATCACTGACAATAGATCGTGATTAAGATTAAGCAAAATTTATATAATTGGTTCATCAATTATGTGGTGAGCGGACTAGACTGAGAATACATTGCCTTTGTTACGAAATTGAGACTGAAGAAATTTGTGGCAGTCGGATCGGCTCCGGAATTACACTTGGCTAAAAAGGTTAATAGTCACAGAATGCCTTATCTTAACGATTGGAACGACCTTAGCTGATACCTGTGACAGGTTAATGCCGTCCTCAAGATCAACGCTAAAATTTATAGAAATAAACATTTGACCAAAACAGTTTCGTCGCGCCGAGAATCGGGCCCTCGTCTTCCGGCTTTGCGCCCAGAATAATTATCGTTGTTAAACGCTATTTGAAATTGTTTGTCTGCTGTAAAGGAATAGTAAAAAAGTCATCCTTTATTCACCAAATTAAAGTAGTTTTGGTTAATAAAGTGTAAATATATTTACTGTGATCCACACGAGAGGATACGTAATCCGTCCTCAACGGAATTTGATATCTCGCATTGTTGATGAACTTATTTCTGCAAGTGATACTTAAGGATGGTTTTAGTTTTGTCGTCGAGCTACTAGTAACACTTCGAGGGGACCATTTTGTCGTAAATACAACGAGTTTTGTTAAAGAAATATCATTGTATTAGTTTTTGCATTGTGGGCCACTATGCATTGCACACATTGCATTGTAGGCATGTGGTACGAGTTGGTTGATCTAATACCACCGGCACAAGTTTTAAACGTTTAAATTGTGTATGAATATGTTATATATATTAACACAAAAAAATGTCTTAATAATCTATACAGATAAATAAAATTGGAGTGTCTGTTTGTAATTTTAAAATAACCGCTTTTTACTAAATGCATATTTATGTATACACGGTACATATACCTAAATAACATTTTTTACAATTTTTGTTTGTCTGTCTGTCTGTTTGTTCCGGCTAATCTCTGAAACGGCTGGACGGATTTGGACGGGACTTTCACTGACAGATAGCTGATGTAATAAGGAGTAACTTTATTTTAGATTTTTTTTATTAAAAATTCCACGCAGACGAAGCCGCGGGCACAGCTAGTTTACAATGTAATTAATGAGCTAAAATGAAAAGATGTAGGTTTTTTATTCTATATTAAAAACAAATATTTGTATTTTCCGTGTAATCAAAAGAGCAATTGTTTTTATAAAGTAATTGAGTTTGCTTCAAGTAATGTTAAAATGGTAAAATGTCGGCCGAATTTTCTGAGAACTTTCGCTAACTACCTTTTTATTTTAATTTTTAATATTTGTTTTAAAAGTTTAAAAAAGTCCGTGCGCTAGGTAATTACTCGAGTATTACAGGTACGACTAATAAACATAATAAAGTGCTGACATCATAGAAATTCTTAAATAAAATTTCAGGTGACGAGATTGGCAATGAACATATATCAGCATTGGGTCGGGTTATCCTAATACCTTCTATCCTGATATATCATACGTACGAGATGATGTTTTTAAAATTTAATTATTAAATATGAAATAAATTTGACAAAGAGGGATAAAATTACATTCGCACTATAAAATAACGCTTCCCCTGATTCCAAATTGAAATTTGCCTGACTATGCATAGCTTTCCATGATAAAAAATGATGCTTAGTTGCAAAGAAAGATATCGTTGATGGTGCTTGATCATTTTCGTAATGCTGCCTTTTAATAATAACTAGTGGTCGCCCATTGGTCGAAACTCGACCATGATTAATTATAGATGGTAAAATGTTTTTTTATTGATGTAATGTATTTTTATGCATAATTAAAAAAAATATATTAGTATTCTGCACTGCTTCTCTATATAAACTATCGGTGTGAGAAATTTCATACTCCTCCGTCCGCGGAATTTTTGTAAAAAGGGGTACAAAGTTCTTGGTTCACTCATTAAAATATAGATTCTCCAACTAAATAATTGCACTACAATACATTTAATGGTTACATTTGAATGAAAACAAAAGTGAATTGAAAGGGTTGAAGGTCATTTTAAGTTGGCAGCTAATTTCTTCAGTGGCGTAGTACTGAAAAGCCGATACCATTAGTTAAAAGCTTATCGCGCTAATTAATTTGTCTTCACCATCGACCATGGCCTTCTGTAAACTTTCTTGAAGGCCATTTTCTGTTTTATACTGTTATTCATTTCCACAAATAAGCAGATTAGCTGTTTTATTTAAATGCGCCATAGTGTCGTTAGTTCCGTTTGGATTTTAGATAATGTCAAAGCACACTAGCAACAATAGAATGAAAATAGTTTCGAAACGGGAGTGTTACTCAATAAAATTTTATTATTATGCTCTCGTACAGTATAATTTTTACTCCCAGTGTTTTTAACAATGGAATGCATAAAGGTTCGTTGAAATGTAAGGTTAATGGTTCGTATTTCATGAATTATTTAGCGTCCTAAAATAGTTATGTGTTTGATACCGAAAATTGCG